CTAGATGAATTGCCAAGCACTCAAAGCCCCCGCCAATGAAGAAGTAGTGAGAAGATGCTATTCATTGTTCCTGGGTGACACAAAACAGCTCTAGGGGGAGCAGCCGTGTATGTGTAGTGAATGTGCGGCGATTGGGGAACCCAGAAATAATGTCCAGCTTGACACTGGCCTCATCGCTGAAAGTGCTTCTATGAACAAACAGCAACCATTCGTTGCAGGCAAAGGACGGCCAATGTCAAAGCAGCGTAAAACTGCTGGTCACAGATCGGGTTGAAATCAGCTGATGGAAAGAAAAATGGCGTAGCCTGAGTGTTCCTTTCTTCAAGTCGACACTGGCTTAAAACAGGAAGATAGAATGCGCGAACAAGTCTTCTATCTCCATACGTCCATACTGACGTGTCTTGATGTGCCTAAGGCATCGGCAAAGGGAGTAGCAGCACCAGCAGTTGACCAAGTGGAGGCCTCGGGAGTCAGCTCTCAATTCGCAGATTTGATTTGTCTGCACATATAAGTCGACTTACTTCTTGCCTCGTATGCTCTCCGTCTTCCCTTGCAAAATGCTGAACAAGGTGTTCATCAATGTCAAACAATGTGGAAGCATCCACGAAGAAGTGAGATTTCTAGGGTCCTTGGCATAGCAAACGAAATCAGCCCTGAATTTCTGTACTTCCTTGCACGGCTTGGTGGCTCCTGAGCATCCATCCCAACGCACATTCTACTTTGACAATCCGTATGCGCTGAACACCCAGCAATCCACTGGACTGGCACACCCAAGCCTGTGAAGAGGGCAGCTGAATAAGTCTGTTCAACGGCAGCTCTTAGGTACTGATTCAACGAAGAAAGCTATCACTGGCTCAAGAAAAACTGAAATACTCGTGGTGACTTTACTGGGAATGCTTGAAGGATACTTCCATTCGCGGAGATTGCTTAGCAGGAGAGCTCTGCTTTCTATTGCGGGCAGTCTCATTAATAACTATCGTAATCCTGTGCTTCTGGACTTTGTTGGGGTGGGCCAAAGGGGTAGCTTGAAGTTGGGGCTTAGGGTCGATTGGCCTTTTTCTCCCTCGGGCACGTGCTAGCGCTCACAAATACACTTGTCCTCAAAATTGGCCTTGGTTTGTTTCCGCGAAGAAAAAAACAAAAGTGCTGTCCCGCGTTGATTCGGCATCCCCATGTCCGGAGTACTGGCATCGGGCAAAACGGGCCTGAGAGCACAAGACCCCGCATCCGGGTCTCCGGGCAAAGGCCTGCCTCCGTGTCAGGCATGCCGGTGCTGAAGGAGTACCTCTCCAGAATGTGGAAAGGCAGCGACGAAATGGAGGCAGTACAGCCCAGACAGCCCAAGCGACCAGTTCAGTGACTCTTCCACGAGTTCAGCACATGGGATGTGGGCGGGGGCTTTGTTGGGATGCTTTGGAGTCTGATGGGCGGGAAGGAATCACAGCACCTTTCCATGGTGCCAACTTTCTGCTGAGGGTGCTCTCAAAATCATCCTCTGGTTCCACTTGCTGTTCTCCGTCCATCTCGACCAAAGGAATCCTTCGGCTTACCGTACAAGCGCCATTCCATTGCCGGGCGCACTCACACCAAAGGCATCTCATGTAGTTGTCGACGCAGTTGCTGGGCGGCATCAGCCGCAGCCCGGCACAGCCTTTCGCGCATTGTGAGTCCAGCGAGGTTAAGAGCAGTGGCTTGAGATATTCAGCCGCAAATCCAAAGATTGACGACACATTGGAGCCTTCGTCGCAGGTCTCCCTGCACACGTCCCAGACATATCAGCCAACCCCAATCCAAACCGAAGTAGTTGCAATTTTGTTGCCAACCTAGCCGCCAAAACAAACCTGGGGCCTGCTCACAAATAGAAGCAAGCATCGTGCTCGGGTGCCACTCACGCGGCCACATGTGCTGCACGCACAACACCATGACACGAGACATGTGTAAGGGTGCCTCCGGTGACTATGACATGTCCGATTTCTCAACCTGGCTTCACCTTGTGCAGCGGAGTTCCTGTCTTTAAACGTCTGTTAATGCAAAGGCTGAGGAGTGTTGCCCCAGCGTAAACCAAACATTGCTCCAGTCACATGTCTTAAGACAGGCAAGCTCTTGACCCACCTCGAAACAGAAGGAACACTGGCAGGGGTGCCAAAGATGTTCAGGTGACTCAAAGTTGGGGCTCGAGCCAAAAAACCCACAAGTTGCCCAAACCAAACTCTGGGCTTCCCGGCAGCACCAGCAAGGGATGAAAGGCAAGGCCACTTCAGCATCAATGTCGCTGAGGCCTCACTCTGCACAAGGTTGGGCTAGAGCCCCCGATTGCCTCGTGTCTGGGGGAGTTAAGGTCCCTTCGCCACTTGTTTACTGACAATGAGCTCCAAACACCTGGCACGTGCAAGTACGGTCACACTTGTATGTAGAAAGCAAACAGTACTCATGCATGATGGTCATATGAGAAGTCATTGCAGTTGTTGCAGGCTAAGAATGTACTAGGCCGCCAGGCCTGTTTTTGCGGCGTTGTGTCCGCTGTCTTTCTCTGTATCTACAGCCGTAAGCAGGCAACGAAGCCCAGAAGCCTGTCACCGCAATGCCCATGACCCCGCCAGCCGAGCTGCGGGAGAGATCGTGCGGCTTCGTGGGCCGGCCCTCGCGGGCGACGGAGCCCACCAAACCTGCGGCGCAAGCTCTGAACATCCAGAATGGGCAAGCGGACCGGGGCTTGTCCCCATTCCATAGACATATGTGTTGGAATCCAAGCAGGGCAGAAGAATGCTTGCATAAACGTATGACACCAAAAACTTGAGGCTCTTCGAACCTTGAGCAACTCCGCCTCAAGGTTCGACTGCCAGCATGTAGGAAGCATGTTGTCATTGAATCCGCACGCCCTCCGATCAAGCTACTAGCTCTAACATGGTCTCGCTCTCGCATTCCGCTAGAAATTGACCTGTTCCCCTACTCGCAGTATCCTGCCTGCTCCGATCACATGGCCCTCTTATGCAAGTCCCAAAACAAACAAGCAATGACCCCCAGAACACGGGCTATTCTTGCTCAAGATTCATATCTCCAGCAAACCTGTTGACTAAAGTGATCAGCATGCCCATGCAAAGTTCCAGCTGTCCCCATGAGAATGGCCATTGCGAAACCAATACCACGACAAATCGGCCAAACATGAGAAGCGGCGTACCACTCTTTCCGCACCACCAATCTCCTACCCAAGCTTGCAAAGGCCTCGTCGCTCGCACCGTCATGGAAAAACTCTTCTTCAAATGACTGTCGCCGAGTGGAAAGCAACCCAGGCATAAGAACAAACAGTTTTACACTCAACCTTAGCGTCATTCTGAAGCAATTCGGAAAATCAGTCATCCTCACCCTGTACGCTGCGCATACATCGAAACAACCTCCATGCCACTGATTTGGGGACAATAATCGACTCCAGGCCATCGTCGTGACGTCGTGTCTCATGTTTCGGTAGGGTGTTCGGGATCGGCGTCACTAAACAGAACCCTCAAAGTCCCGGCGCGGCGCGCCGCAGAAGTCGAAGCCACACCAAATGCAGCGGGGGTCCCCGGCGCGCGGAGGCGCGCGGCAGAGGCACTCGAAGCAACAAAGCCTCGGGTGCAGCCGACTCCATCCGTTTCCATGCCAAAGGCTTAAAGAACGTGAGGTGAAAAACTGAGCCTGAAGAGTCTGCAGCTACGAGACCATGCGTTGCTCACCATGCTGCTAGCAGGATTCATCGCATCAACAAGCAGAAGACCCTTAAAGACAAAGTGTGTCTGCAAACGTTCAGAGAATACGATCCGGCTATAGCTATGCCGGCACAGCATTTGATGCGTTGCCCTTTTGGGATATGCTTCAATTCTCCGCGCTGCCAAGCCACGCCATTGACTTCCAAGGTGTGCGCTGCCAAGCCACTCGGTGAATGTGCCGCAGCAATTGCCGTCTGCGTCTGACCGGGAAGTCCTGCCAGAAGGATTACTTGTCAAGACTGGACGGCATCCAAGCAAATTGCGAGCCTGTTGAGAAAAATGTGCGAGGACGAAACCGCCATCCCCTCGGCATTTCTTCAACCCGGTCTTCCACTGACACATCCCACAGGCAACCAACTTTGATGTAAACACCTGTTTTTGCTTCGGTCGCACTGTCTCGTTGCCGTAGCCTAGATGCATCTTGAGGGGCTTTGGACCACGTCACGCATGGACTCGCTGGACTCCATGCAGATTCTTCGTTACAAACAGCTTAATAGCCAAAAAGCCTGGCTTGGTGTAGGGAAGAGTTGGCCACTGGAGCACAGGCCAGACTTCAACAGTCACCTTCAAATCTCATCACTTTGGGCAAAATACTATATTGTGTCCCCCTTTTTGAAGGGGTGTTGGCAAGTATGCCCGCTTTCCTAATGGTAATCGCTGCGTGTACCCAATTTCAGTGTTTCCCCTTTACTACAGTAGATCACAGCAAGTATTGACCGTTGCTCGTGTCACTGTCCAAGACGCACGTCTCATGATAACTCCCCCACACGCTCCAAGCATGCATTTCTTGGAGCATGGAGAACCCGGAAATCAGCGCTGTCGTGGCCTCCGCTCCGAGGAAAAATGCCTAAAAACCAAACACTTGGTACACCGTCAGTAACAAACCAAAATCTGTCTCAAACAAACAATCAAAACAAAACAAGTCACACCAGCATAGACCCCAGATAAAAGGGGTCATTCAACAGCACCCTGACCAGCACCCCTACTACATCGCCAAACAAGCACCTCCGGCAACCTCACCAGCACACCAAGCAGCACCCTGACCAGAACCGACAACAGCATCCAGGCTGTGGCAAAACAAGCAGCGGCAACCACCACAACACTATCAATTTAGTACCCTGACCACGCTGGGCTTCCGGGCGTCTGCCAGCTTGTGTTGGCGCAGCAGCAGTTGAATGTGACGCCCAGAGGTGCACGGCTTTTTGCCACCCCGAAGCCCATGCAGCAGCAAAAAAGGCACCACCTGGCAGGCCCAAA